ACACACCCTTCACGGTATGGTCACCCAGACAACACGGGATAATACCTTTGAAAAAAAAAAATTAGTTCACAGTGACTTGATTTTGGGGAAATTTAGGTCACAAGATTGCAAGTCAGTCAGCTGATTTTATGAGTTAGGTTATGGGATGCTGGAAAAAAATAGATCACTGTGACTGAGTAATGTTAATATGACCTGGTTTTATATATATGTACGTTAAGGTCACAAGGTTGTACAGTCATCACACTCGATCGTATATGTTACCAAGTTACCTCCCTGAAAGACAGCTCACTCGCCTATCTCTCACCAGTGTGTTACAACAGCGGAACGGTTGTCATCACATCAAACTTTATGGACGTGTCTGTGTAATGATGCCAACTCACTTCTCTGGGAAACTAGGTCGACTGTGTTTATGTCTATCTCTGGTTGTACTTGTTACTTAAGTCACTACACGTTTTATGGTCATAACTATCTCATTACTGTACACCAAGTCACCCGTCTGGACACTAGGCTAGGTTAAGTTGTTTTGGTGGAGGTACAGTGTGTGTGGCGTTAAGTTTATCTCTCAGTTAGGTTATAGACACATTTATGAAACGTGCTACAGTTACCTTAGGTTTGATGTCCCTGTTTGTATCCGAAGAACATACTGTAATTCTTCTGTATTTACTGTGAAAAAGTAGGTGTGACTGTAACTCCTACTGCCTCTGTGACTCACATTTCGGGTGATACAGTTAGGCAAGACTCACGTTTGGTTGTGTTCAGACAACTCCTGTTACGTGAGAACAGGTGTGTGAATAACGGCCCTACACCACCGACCAGGAAGTCACTAGTCCACGCTGCTAGGAAGTGAACCAACCCACAGGCCACCACGCAAGCAACACTTTTACTACCTATAACTTATTAACTATGTCATTTTCCAGCGTCCAGAGTGGTTATTAGTAAAGTCCTCTGAAGGGGGGGGGGACGAGTAATACTGTACTGTCTCTCGACTCCATCTCCCCCTCACTGCTCATTGCATAGCTCTCGCTGAAGATTATTTCCCCCGAGTTGAGAAAACAAATAAAATCTTTTGAATTATATATTAAAACACCATAGATAGATAGATATTCAGTAAAATCTTCATACTAGTTTACAATTGGTTCAACATGCATATAGACGGTGCAGGTATACAGTTAAGCAAACATGTAAACAACGCAGGTATACAATTTACAGTGTACCTAGACAGTGCGGGTATACAGGCAAGTAATGGTAAACAGTATAGGGTGTTGGACCGAGGATTAGCCAACAAAGCCGTAAGTTAGAGGGTGTGTATTGTGTAGTACACCTTAACATCACCTCTGAGTCGTGTTAAGTCGAGCGTTGGTGGGGGGTGGTGTTGATGACGTCATTGTTATGGAGGAGAGAGAGTGAGTGAAGGTGATGACGCTTATGATAACGTCATGCATCAGCTGATACTGGGACCTTGGTGGCGGTGGAACTACAGTAACTGTTCTGTTACCCACAAACTATGTCGGTGTACAAAATTAAAATAGGTGAGTGAGTATTATGTGTGTGTGTGTGGGCGCGCGCTTTATACCTGCGGGGAGAAAGTGACAGAGTTAACTGTATGATGAGGGACGCTAGGCGGTTTTTGTGAGAGAAGCGTATCTGACACACACCCACACACCCCCCCACATCCCCCCACACACACCCCACACACACACCCCACACACACCCCCCACACCCCCCACACACCCCACCCCCCACACACCCCCCCACACACACACTCACACACACTCACACGGCTGTATCAAGTATTAGTTAGTTTAATGTAAGTGGTAACAGATATAAGACAGTCTTGGAATATAAAGAGCATTGAGGGGAGAGGAGGAAGAGGGAGGGGGGTCCATGGAGTGTTTACTTTCATACACTCGCGTGACTGTGGAGGTGAGTGAGGTAATGGGGGTGCTGTAGTGGAGTGTGTTTGAGTGAGTGAGTTTCCCCGTAGTGGTGGTGTGTGTGTATAAATAGTGGGTAGTGGAGAAGGTGAACAACAAGGCACTCGAAACCCACACACACACACATACACCTGGTATTAATGAACAAGGTAGACATTTGACAGTGACTAAACGCCACTACAAGTCGAGTGAAAGTCTCCCATGAAGCAACGATTACAGATGCTGCCGAATTCTCAAGGAGTATCTCAATTATTCCATTATTAGAAGAGGGAACACTGCTGTAAGCTGGTGAATACAGTAATAGAGGCGTGAGTATACTGGTTGGGGATATTTTTAAGTGGCAGTGACAGGCTGCAGTACGGCCGGTGAAAGTTGTTGTATCCTGTAGGCGGAGTGATTGTTGGTGGTAAGTGACATACTGTGTGTGAGGTTAGTGGTAGCTCAGACCACACCATGGGGGGGGAGAACTAGAGTGTGTGAACTAACAGTATGACCACACCATGGGAGGAGGAGGCGAGGAGGGAGAACCAGAGTGTGTGTGTGTGAACCAACAAGGGTAGCAAAGACTATATACTAAGCGGTGACCTGACGTAGAAGGTGTGGTGGTACTGTACACATCCTGGTCTGCAAGAGCTAATGACTGTACCTTAATCCGAAATTAAACCTTTTTCTCCTTCTTACTTATAGATATCTTGTACAATTTTAAAGTACATTTTTATTGGATTTAGTTTCTTTTTAGTTAATTTCGAGAGAATGTAAAGTGGTGCCTCTCATACAGTCGAAAGCAAGTCATGTATATCAATGTTGTATTAGTTCCTGGACGCTATCATTTAGCTTTTCTCTTTTATAAGTTACATACTTCTTCTGCACAGTGATTCGTGACGTCTCTTCACGCCACGCAACGATTTGAAACTACGCGTGATCGCTTCCCTCACTTTCTCTGTACTATAATATATTTTTTTTACAGGTTGGTTCATTATATCAGCTGCTGTTGTGTTACCGACCACCCCACCACCGCTTCACCCACTTTACTGTTGGCTGGCCTATAAATACTGTACCAATTATGAGGATGTTCGCCGTAATGCTCACTATTTGGCCAGTTTATCACGGTTTATGACAGAAACAAAGCGGTTTAATTGACGAGAGTATTAATGATAGGTAACACGAGTGGAGATAAAGTTGTACTGTAGGGGGAATAGGTACAATCTATTGGAGATACAGGGTAGTAGTGAAGTTTGGGGGGGGGGGGTGTACGGTAGTAACCCTCGCCCTTCCCAAGACTCCAAAATAAGTACAGTACATTAATAACGCTTAATGTATAATGTGCAGCTTTATTACTTGTAAGCACGATAAATTAAACACTAAGCTTAGCTAAGTATTTAGGGATGAATACATATTATTCATATAGTAATAATGCATACTATATTCACGATGGTAAACCTATAAGAAATTGAGGGAAGAGTCAGGCGGTTTGGAGAAGCTGTCGACCCATCAGGTGACGTTGACGGTGTAGTGTAGACAAAATGTGCCTGACCGAGGTTCTTATAGTTAATTGCTCAGTTGCCAAACCACCAGGTTGTTAACAAGCAGTACGATCTGAAGTGACCCTGGCTTACTAATCACCTCCTCCCCCCCCCCTCCCTTCCCCAGACATTGGGTAAGTGCAGTTCATGGTAAAAATGGCATTACGTCACGTTGTCTCGTGTAGGTTGAGGCAGTCAGCTGTTGTTGATGGTGTAGTAGCGATGTTGAAACCGAGGCGATGTCACGACACACTGTGCATGAGGTGGTGAGGCGTGAGTGTGTGTGACTGTGTGTGTGATGTGTGACTGTGTGTGGCTGTCTTTGCTATGGTCCGACCCCTCACAAGACAATAATTATCTAATAATCATACGGGAAGAAATATTAAATGGTGTTGTGTTTGTACATCGAAAACACCAGATGGTATCCGTCAACGAGTGAACCAAACTTACGGGCCGAAGAAATTATAATTTTTGCCAATGTATCGATCAGATTTATAACCCCGGCCTCCTCTCTGTCAACTGAAGTAATTGGGTTTGTTTATAATAATTAATGATATCACTATTAGTCTCTTCTGCGTCTCTTCAACAAATGAAACTGGTTAGTTTTTTTTTTGACAAGCTGGTTTGTTTGTATCTACCACACACACTCCTTTGGTCTACATCAGCGGTCGGGGAAAACATTTTTGTCTGCATCAGCTGTTGGGAAAATATATTGTTTACATTAACTGTCTATTTTTATTGTTGGGAAATTAGTTTTGGTCATGGATTTGTTTACATGTCATCGGGTAAACTGACTTTGTTTACACCTTTCATCAACAAACTAGCTCAGTCAGTCATCAGCAAATTACAGTAACTTCCTCTGCATCATTTATCAGGTAAACTGGTTTTGTTTACACAGCATCATCGACACCACTTACTGTAGACTGCCTTTTAGTTTAATTATCACTAATCTGGTTTATTAGTTAACTGGCTTTGTCAACAGTTACCAGTATAAACTATATTTGTTCACATAATTCAGATGATAAACTAGTTTTTTCTAAGACCTAACAGGGAAACTAGTTCAAGTTTCAGTACAGTCAGCGTGCCATGTACCAAAGCTTGTTATATCACCTCACAGTGCAATGCTGACCAACCGATTCCTACCATTTTACAGACGCTTGATAAGTTTAAGGCAATACAAACGAGTGAACATCGAAAACAATTCAGTCCAGTTACAGGTCTAGCATTAGTTTTGTGATGGTAAAAATAAAAAGTCGGCTCCATTATTCTGGAGAGGTGAAGTTTGTTGTCTCTTGTGGATGGAAAGAGCCTGGGTGTGTGTTGCCCTTGTATTTGTATCCCATTTTTCATTGATATTTTCAAATGTTTTATTCAGTGTATATACCAGTAGACAGCATACTATGCACCCTGCGAGGGTTATCGAAACAACCCCACATACTATATTAATTTTTTTACTTGGTATTTGTAGTTAAAACATTCTCATTGTTAAGTTTTCGTATATGGTACTGTACTGTATCTAATATTTTATTTATTTATTTTGCAGGCACATGTGAAATTTCCGCCTGACTACCCCTACTCACCACCTTCCGTCCGATTCCTGACCAAAGTCTGGCATCCGAATGTGTATGAGAATGGTGACTTGTGTATTTCCATCCTTCATCCTCCAGTTGATGATCCTCAGAGTGGGGAACTTCCTTGTGAGCGCTGGAATCCTACACAGGTAAAAATATATATTTTTGTAGGTTTTCTCTTCCACTATACGACATTATGCCTGGCTTAGTTGATTATGTACCTATTTGATTTGCTTTTGCAATCAGGATTTCAGTGGCTGAGTATGTTAGAAATTCATCACATTAGTATAGTGATTGTGCTCCAAATAGCTTGCAAAATTTCTTCACTTGAGTTTGAAAAAAACATCAACTGATCAGAGACAAAGGAATAAGAAAGGCTGCCATATGTGCTGTACTGTGTAGCAGTTTACTGTGCTTTGCTATATAAAATTATATATATATATATATATATATATATATATATATATATATATATATATATATATATATATATATACACACACACACACATACAGTAGTATGTATGAGTATGGTGTATTAGTTATAAAAGGAAAAATTTGTACAGTAAATGAAGCGGTAATGTTGCTTGTGTGAAGCTTCCATTATAATGTAAAAATTTGGAACTTCGAAACTCTGGAAAGATAAGATGTATTGTAGTGTCTGGTACTGCTACAGAAATTAATATACTGTACCTGTAGTACAGTACAGTCTATCTTTGTTTAGTATTAATACTGTACCATCCTTGTTCTAATGAAATCGTCCATTCCTCTGAGTTGATAACCTGATGCCTATTCAGAGTGACCCTTGAGGATGAGTGCCTAGTTTTTATGGTTTTCCGAGTAAACCCCAAGACCATGGTGGTAATCTGATCATTCACTCTCCTAAGATAAAAAAGGTTACCAATAGCTCAATAAGATTGGAGAGGAATGACTCTTAATGATGCACAGCTCATTTAATTTTTCTGCTGTGCAGGTCACACCACATTGACTTTCAAAATTTGGTTTACAGAAAAAAACTACACTCCGATGCCCAACTTTTCCGTGGAAAGACGTGTTCTTCTAATTCATTTATTCAGTCACATAATAATTTTTTTTTTTTTTATAATTCTCAAAATTTTCTTCACATACATAAGTTTGCGAGGAACATACATGGGTAATCATAGGGAGCCATCTTACCAAGTGTCATAGTCAAGTGTCTTGGGTAACTCAACATGGCTGTAGACCAGTCCATCATTTTTATCAGGTTTCCCTGTCAGGCTAGAGGCCAGCTTGAGGTTTTAAAGATATACAGTATGGTGTACAGTGGTCCCTTGGTTAACGAGCACAATTCGTTCCAGAAGGTTGCTCGTTAACCGAAAAATTCATGAACCGAAACCATTGTTTCAATGGGTTTTTGGGTAATTGGTTCCAGCTCACCGAAAATTACATACAAACGAAAAATAAATGCAGTAAAGTACACTTACTTTGAGGTGTGCATGTAGAAGGCTCCTGGTTGATGATGATGATGATGATGGGAATTAGAATGGGGGTGGTGGAGAAGGGAGAAGAGAAGGCATTGGGGTGGAAGAGAAGTCACCCCATGCCGCCATTTCACCCATAAAATTTTAGTTCACTTGGTGGAATTCAAGATTATTTTCTTTAAATCAACACCGCACTGCACTATATATTATCAATATGTAAAATATATTTCAAAATGACCAATAATTTGACTGGAAACACAGAAAAAAAGCATTTATGTTGAAGTCTCAAACAAGATGTTCCTTCCTTTAAACCGGTAAACAAACTGACGCCAAGCTTGGTGTGTTGAGTGGCTGTTTGGCGCGCTTAAAACTAGTTTCCTGTACTTCAATTATGCTCAGTAATTGTTAGAATGACTAAAAAATTAATATAAAATTTTTAAAATGGTTGAATAGTACAACCTTCTTGATATTTACCAAAATGATAAGGAATTTAAGCCCTAGAACCGAATATTGTATTGGCGGACTAATATGACAGCTAGTGAGCAAGCGAAAACATGTTGAGGGGTGCTTGTAAGGAATTCGTTAATCGAGGGATTGCTCGTTAACTGAAATGAAGAATCTTATGGATGGTAATTCTTTAACCGAAATTTCGTTAACCGAGGGATGACTGTATTGGTGAGATCTAGAGAAGTAGTTCATGTTGTGTTATTCTGACATCAGATTCTTCAGGTTTTTACTGGACCACACATTTTTATGATGAAACTTGCAGTAATTCACACCTTGGCAGCCATCAGTCCTGGCCATACATTATTTTCTTGGATTTGTGAACTTTTCCTCAGTCTTATCTACAACACCTCACTCCTGCTCAGGAAGCTCTATGCTTACCCTCTTTATCCCATCCCCCGTTCCTCCCTTAATGTATTGTTTCGACCTTCTTGCCCATGGTAAAGGTGGTCTTCCCTACTCAGTGAACCTGTTACACTGCCCCTACACAAAACTGTACATCCAATTTCTCTTCCCCTCCATCTTATCCAGAATGTCTTCACCCATTCCAACATTCCACAGTTTACACCCTCTGCTCTTTGCCATTCTATATGCCTCATACAGTTCATTATTTCTTGTTTTGGTAAATCCAGATTCAGCCTTAAGGTAGTTTGAATATTAGAGGGTGTTACTCCATTCCAAGTCCATGTTTTATGTCCGTGAGTTAAAGTAGGAATTATTATACACTGTACTGTACTCTTTCTTTAGTTCCTTCTTTACTTCAAGTTTACATTCCTTCCCATGATGATTATTCCTAGTTCTCTGTTCACCCTCTTCTCATTGATTGTTTTCCTCCAAATTTCACACTCTATCATCATCATCAGCATTTTACTGCAATTTTCCACGCTTGTGTAGGTTAGCCGCGATTATCTGATGGCGGCTGTTGGGTAAAGCCAGAACGGGATCCTCCCCTTGCTCACCACGGCCAGCCCAGAAAATGCAGCAGACACCAGGGGATGGGCACAGCTTTAGTGATCCGGTTGCCATCAGGCATGTTGAAGCAAAGTTTTATGGCAGGATGCCCTTCCTAATGCCATACCAGTTTTTCTCAACTTTGCTCCTAGATACTTGAATTCCTTGCCCCCCTGCAGTATATTATTCTTCATCAGAAGTTTATATTTTAATTGTAAAGATTTTTCTGTTTTGTGTTATTTTGCAAAATCCAGTAAAATTCTTTACTCTCAAGAACCATCATCTTACTCCTCGTACAGTAGCAGTTTTCTTCATTTTCCTTCCTTCCTTCCTTCACACACACACACTATACAGAAAGCACTGTACTTATCCACATAAAGACGTATACCATTTGCCACACCCAACTTTCCATCTCCAGTCACCCTTACCTTCATTTCCCTCACTTCTCCATCCATAAATATATTAAATAATCATGGGGATATCACGCATCCCTGCCTCACTCCTACTTTCACTTCAATGTTCTCATTTAGTCTTCCCTTTATACACACACACACACATATGCCTGACAACTCGTGTAGACTGCCTTCACTACATGAGGCAGCTTTCCTCTTACTCCATAAATCATCACCTCCTCCCACAGTGTCTCGTGATCCACCCAATCATTTACCTTCTCCAAACCCGATAACTTTACTTTTTTTTCCAGTGTAATTTTTGTCAAGCATTTACACGAAGTATTGTATATTTGGGCTTGGTAATCTCTACTGCCTCATACTTCATCCAGATACGTACTCGTTTATATTGTTGTTTTCCTCATCTTTTTTATTACAACCTTCCCAATTACTGTATGTCCTGTATTTTCTCAGGATCGCTCAGGAGAAACTACTACTACTGTATTTGGATTCTGTAGGTTTTATCCTCTTCCTTACTCCCTTTCCCATTGTACATACAGTATTATTATAGCCTTCACCTGTTGCATTGGGTGTTTTTCTCTGTTTGTTTTTCATGCCATTTTACAAAATCTTTGAAGGAGGCTAATTATTTCTTCTTCATCATATTCCAACATCTACCTCAATACCATCCATTCCCAAAGCTTTCCCCATTTTAGTTTGCTTGGTGGTGCCTTTAGCCCCTCCCTCTAGTAACCAACTCCCTTTTCTATCCCTCACCGTGAAATCTTATTGTGGAAAATGGCTCTAAAAGTGGTGGTGATTTGTCATCAGGTATTATTAAATCCTACTTTACCTTCACCTTCTTAACTATCTCAACTGTTTCCATTACTATTCTTCCCTCAGAATCTTTTTATCTACTGTTGTTACTCCCATCCCTTGCTTTTTCTTTTACAGTATAATTTTATTATATTTTTTTTATACCTTCAAAAATCATGGTTTAACCTTTTACTCAATTCCCCAGCCTTTCCTTCCCTAGAATTCTCTTCACCATATAATTTTAAGTTCGGGTTGTTATTATGGAAAGAGTGACTTTTGGAGTAGAGACAGTTGCAGTGGCTGAAGAATGGAAAACCACAAACAGTTGAGGTGCTCATCCTCATGGGTCACTCTGAACTAGCAAAACTTAATAACACAGTATTGTATAGAAATAAGGCTTGGTCCACATGTCCTATAGTTTTAACTTGGGAGGTATCACGCCCTTCTTGGTGTGTTAATCCTTTTGCATTGTCAACAGCTGGACAAATTTCATCCTTTCACTGGCAAATGACACAAGTTGTTTTGTCCAGATCTGCTTTCATCATCCAAATCTCACCTGCTTACTGGCTTTATGATGCAAACTGCATCATCCAAAATTGGGTTTGGAATTTTTTGTTTAATAAAACTGCGGGATCAACAAGAAGTTCCTCATGAAACATGTGTTGGTGAGGGTTGTGGCTGTACCTGATAAAAGTCAGCAGAGGAGGGTGTGGGAACTGTATTGGCTCTTAATGACAACCTGCATCATCGGCTAGTGAGAGTGTTAATAGATAAGAATTTCCTTTCCATCTTAGAGTGAGGGTATGTAATCATGCCGTACAGTAATTTTTTAAACTACTTCTACTGTATTATGACTGTGCAGCAATAGGAAGCCTATGGTGTTTATCCCTAAGGACTTATAAAGCCATGGAAGTGTTTCCTATTTGAATGTTATCAGTAGGTTCTTTTGACACACAGACACCCCCATACTATTTCTAGCTGGTTTACAATCTTGCAAGTCATTCATTGATAATCCCTAGGTCATAAATGAAGGATTGAAGTTTAATACAGTAGTTCATTTTATGACTAATGGAATGAAAAAGGGGACGAAAGCTAAGGTACTCCGTTGTTTCCATCTTCCCGTGTGATTTTATCAAGATATATATATATATATATATATATATATATATATATATATATATATATATATATATATATATATATATATATATATATATATATATATATATATATATATATATATATAACATCTTCAGGGGTGATCAGACTATACAAATCTGTATATATACACCTTGAGGGTGAGACCAGGTCACAATGGTCAGATTAGTAGGGTCATTACCTAATACCTGACCATTGTGGACCTGTGTTTTCCTACCTAGTGATTTACTTGCATACTGTATATATATATATATATATATATATATATATATATATATATATATATATATATATATATATATATATATATATATATATATATATATATATATATATATATATATATATATTATACAGTATATAATTTTTTTATTTTTTTTATTTTTATGTTCAAGTTAGTTTAAAATAAGTGAGGCTTCTGAAAGATACTAAGTAAGTATCCTGAAGCCTTACTGATTCTGGGATGACTCCAAGATCAAAGCAGTGATTCACCTGGGGGATGGAGTTGGTAGCAGCAATAATCTTGTCCATACTGATAAAGTACTGTAGTGTGTCACAGTTCTCTGACAAAGACTGGCTTTACCTTGTGTCATACTGGAGGCTACTCACTTCTTTTCTTCAGTCATAAACTGGGATTTTATACTTGTACAGTACAGTACCCGGTACTTCAATATTTTATACCTATAGGTATTTTTCTTGGGTGGGATGTAGATTAGGATATTTGTTTGATATAGATTTTCATTAATCATGATACTGTAAGACTAGCCTAAAATTACTTAACATTCCCAGATAATACTCCTATATACTGTAGGTATATAGTTGCTTTGGTAAATTGTACTGTCCCAGTTTGTATTTACAGTATCCTGTATGCACCTTTATGGTGATTAATCAAGAAATTGCAAAGAAAGCATTAAAGAAATTTACTGTACTGTATATGCTAGTGGTAAATACTGTACAGTACATAGACCAACATATTTTTCAAATTTTCGTTGATAATGGGAATTATTTATATACGTATTTAGAAAAACGAAGTAAAGCTTGGTGAAACTATTTGTTTTAACAATTATGAAATTAAATACCTGTATTATGTTCTTAGTTATACATGTACTGTGTATTCTTTATAATTTTTTGTACTCTTGAAATACCTATTATTCAAACTGTCCTTGTTTGCAGAATGTGCGCACGGTGCTGCTATCTGTAATTTCTCTGCTGAATGAACCTAATACATATTCTCCTGCCAACGTGGATGCTTCCGTTATGTACCGTCGCTGGAGGGATTCAAAGGGCAAGGATAAAGAATATGAAAATATAATCAGGTAAGCCCCCAACTAATTTTATCATTTTTTTTTAATATAAGTTTTTTTTTTTTTAGGAAAATTCTCCAGGTGCCATCAGTTCACCATAATCCTGTACTTATACAGATCTTTTACCTACTCTCGACAGTGTAAGTTTATATACAGTACAGTATATGGGTATGGTTATATGCTGGATAGAGAAACATTGCCACCACCTTGGTATCTCCCTGGCATTCATAATAGTCTCATTGATTTCCCTTTTGTACAGGTAACGACATTTCACTGCTTTAGCAGGCACTTCTCTTCTTATACCCAATACAAATGGCATGACAATTTCTCCTCACCGTTTTATATCTACAGTATATCCTTACTGTCCCATCTGTTATAACTTATTTGCTCATTTTTACTGTCATGGAGTCTTTATATTCAGGAACTTTGATCAGTATTTAGAATTGAAGAAATGGGATAGACAGACACATGCAAGTAAATAAAGTTATGAATCTTTATTTTTATTTTGAAAATGTTTGCCCACTTTAAACCATGTGGAAAAAAAAGTAGTAAATTCTAATCAGTGAATGAAAACACATACAGTATATGGTAATATAAATTGTTTCTCTTCATTATATCAAAAATGGTATGTTATTCTTGAGAAGCATGTACTCTATGAGTGCACTTAAATGTACTGTACAGAAAAGGGGGACATAATTATTGTGTTGCCCTTCAGACATCGAAGAGGGACATTCTCTGGCCCAACATTATTGATTAATGCATGTGCCAATTTTTTAAAACATTGTAGTACATTTTTTTTTTACATCAGTCATAGAAGATCATCTTTTCATAATTTTTAGTTTTCTTCTATAATGATCAGTCAGACATACTTATATTCAATTCTTTTTCTATTGTTTCCTGCAATTTAAATATTGCATTCCTTTACACAGTTATAGTAACATTACAAATACAGGGGTATATACAGTAATTCACCTTATGTGCTGGTGGTAATAAAGAAATTTTCTTAGTGTATACTGTACAGTATTTTACATGTAGTGAGTAGGTTTATTTTTTATCATACTATTACAGGAAACAAGTGATGTCATCTCGTAGTGAAGCTGAACGTGATGGTGTGGTAGTACCGCTTACGCAAGAGGATTATTGTATCAAGACCAAGGTTAAGCCTGATACTGAACCTGTAGATATGTATGATTTCTATGATGATGATTATGATATTGATGATGATGATGAAGATGATGATGAGGAACTCTCAGACAATGGTAAGTTTAGAAATAAGTTGTTCAAATCTAATGTATTATGCTTTTATGCCTCCACTCTGAATGCATAGAGGCATCTTGATTTTCACCATTTTTTTGTGTAAATGTACTTCCCTTTCATGTTTTTAGTAGGGTTCAGCAAAATGTACCAGTGTGGAGCATCTCTTGAACATAATGAATTTTTTAGTTGTCCACTACTTTTTGGAATGAAGGCTTTGCTGGGGTAGGTGAATTTTCCCTGGACAGGAGTACAGTACTTGGAATAAAATTGAACCATTATCCCATTTTTCCTAAATGCTTCACATGGTTTTGCAGATACTTAAAGTATTGTAGTTCTAAGGCATCTCTACTGCATTGGCTCCATGTTGGCATAGTAGGGTTTGGTTTCTTCATTCATTCACCTTTACTGAAATCATAGTCGAGTTCCCATATTGATTTTGAGTTAGTTGGATGAGGGAGAAAATGATTGTGTGCTCTGGTCCTCAGTTTCAAATTTAACCTACTGGTAATAACTGCAGCATTTGGGAAAATGAGGGTATCCCATATACTGTACAGTACAGGGGATCCCCGACCTAAGAATGTCCACCGATATGAATGAGGTTAAACTTAAAATTTGCAGTATTTTATTTACCTGATGACTTAATTTTTTAATTCCATTTACTGTATTTTGTCATTATATTAATTCTTTTGTCTTAAATTAAGTGATTTTAGATGTATACAAGGACTATGGCTGTGATATAGTGGGATTTTAAACATTGTTTTGGAAGTATGGTATACATATGGCATGTGTTCCGACTTACAAACGTCTTCAGTAACGGAATCCGGGGACCCCCTAAAAAAAAAAAAAACATAATACTGTATTATGGAAGTTAAGAAAATATTTTTTTTTTATATGAAATTGAAGATATAAAATTTAGAAGTCATAAAAACCATATACTTGTACTGTAACAACTTTGTACTCACCCTGGGTGGTGAGTTATGAGTGTGAAGTGAGGCAGAGAGTAACTGGCAACTGCCGAGCCCTGGTTGTTGTTGGGATGCAAAAGGTGGTTGTGGTGGTGCAACGGTGGATTTTGGTGTGCAAAAAGGGTGGTAAGCTCTCACATAGGTTCTGAGCCAGGCTGTGGCGTCATAGGTGTGGGTGAGGGGCCACTGAGGACAGGAGGAAAGTGATGAGGCATAAATAATTCCAAAATGTTAGCAAGTTGATCCGAGGCTCCACCAGCCTTTTGTCTCAATCTATAGTGTCTACCAATCATCGACTTTATATTCTTAGTATGCCAATCATCTTAATACTGTAATATGATGGCATGATTTCGATATATCATCCAAAAATGATAGCAGTTGAAGGGTTAAATATGAATCTTGTAGCTATTTATGGTGAAGGTTTGGTTAAGTATGGAACAAGATTGGCATTGATTTAATCGGTTTAGTAAATCAGTGGTTTTTACTATAAAAAATAAGTATTTTTTATTTTTTTTTACATTTTCATCAAAAAGCTAGTGGGAAAGGAACAACAATTCTATTTAAATAAAGCCTTTTTATGTTTTGAGTTGGCCTCGATTTAATTAATTATCGACTTAATCTGTGATCTTGATTAACCCTCAAAGTGCCGAGATTTATCACACAGACAAATAAACCCATCTGGTAAAATAAAAAGATAAGCCACACTTTAGGGGTTAGTAAACTATGACTCAATTTTACATCAATAAATGAAACATCTGTCACTTAAGAGATTAATCTAGTCCTACTGGATTCTAAGTATATCTTCAGGAAACTGTTCAATATTTTTGTCCATTTTGCAATTATAATTGTGTCTAATTCAGGCCTTTTTTCACCATCACACACAGCCCTTGATTGAACACTATTATAGGTGTATAATGTACTATTTCCAGTGCTATTCTAAGTTTATATACCATTCTTATTTCAGCACTGATGAGTTATTAAGTGTTACTTTAAGATTTTTCTAGCCACCATAAAACTATTTTTTTTCTTTCTCAGATATTGATGATGGTGATGACAGCGGAAATGGTGAATCGTGATAGGCTCGTGTTAGAGCACATTGGAGGGTGGTCTAGTTGCTGGCCCGAATGCTTAAACGTCCCTAGAGTAATAGAAAAATCAGCCAGACATAGTACTTGTTCACAATGCAATGAACGATCATCTATGAAATATGGATTCTCCAGAACTTGCCAACTCTTAAGCAGTAATTTAAGAATTCGGGCAAATATTGAAGTGAAGTCCGAGGTAGCGCCACCCAGTTCCCCTTCACACATCACCCATTGTTATCACTATCACATTGGCCCCATGCATCTTATGAATCCTTGCATCACATTAGTATGTGACTCCAATGCAAGGATGTAATTCTGTGACCATTAATTTACTACTACATTGATCTGTGACCACGTGACTTTGATGACGTAAATCCACAAATACGTTGATCTGTGACCACGTTCATATGTGCATATGATAACTCTCAACCACCCACATTTCAGGCGATGTGTGTATACTGACTAATCTTCAAGGTCATCATCACTTTCTATGGTAACAAGAATTCCTGCTGTTGTCAGAGCGAGTGTGTGACATGTATGATGAGTTCATTTGTGTTATAGAAAGATCACACAATTTCTCTAATTTTTTTTTTAGACTATATTAATAATTTATTAAAGATGACAAGTGCTGTGAGTTATTATAGGAAAAAAAATGCTCATTTTGTCTTGTTTAGTGGCAGTACAGTATGGGGACAGAATATGCAGAGCAAAATTTTAATCATTAGATCTTATTGTGGATGCATATGACTTATCAGTAACTTTAATTGGTCTCATTGGTGGTGTACCACATACTTCAAATAAGCCTAAGCTATTTTTGTTAACTAGATTGGTTTAACGGAGTGTATTACACCTGACAAAAACATTTAAGCCAATTATTACAGAAAAAAAATTTCGTGTTTATAATTTTGTTGGTGGCAAATATGGTGATCAACACTTCCTTTAAGGTTGATTTGAACTTGAGATATCATTGGCAACTCAGCCTTAAAGACCTTGTGCCTGGATAACAAGCAAAGTGTATACTGCAGTGTTGCCGTAGGCAGCTGTGTGTAAGCAACAAACTTCACTATTTACTGGTATAATGTTTACAGTTTTTTTCCAAATACAAATTTGCTTGGAGCTTGTTCTGTGAGGCGATGCTCTCGGGTGAACAATATTTTATCAGCCATCATTTAGTCTAAATTTTGAATTTGTGAGAAGATTGAGGACTCAACACAAGAAATAGTTAACCTTCTTGAGATAATTTAGATTAACATGAATAATGTGATTAAAAAAGTTGTCCATATCTCTCTAAAGTTCTTGTTAACCAAAATTTTTGACAATAATACAGTTGTGTGAAAGCTTTGTACTTTATTTCTTCTCACAAGTAATAATTCCATCCAAACTGAGGGATATTATTTTCCATCATGTACAATTAGTAAAAAGAAGTTAAAATATTAACATGAAAGATGTTTATCTCTTAACCTTGATTTTCATTGTCTTCGGATATTGCGCTGTTTTCTCTGGTATGTGTAAATTTTCTTGTAAATGCCAGTCTGAGTTTCCCTTACTAAAATTGATTTGAATTCAGATTTGATAACTCAAGTTTGATTCAATTGTCTGAAATAGCAAGGTGAAATTTAACGGCCTCAAGGATTCATGTAGTCTGGACACATGGAGAGAGAGCAGATGAACGGGGATGAATATAAAGAAGAAGGATTCATTGTACATAACTCATTGTCATATTTATAATCACCTTTTCTGTGGACTATGATAGGAGTATGTTACCATAATTGAAAAGGTTAGATTTCCTTTATGCAGTCTTTAAGTGCCAGAGTTATCTATGATATTTCTACAGCTCAAGATAATATGGAAGAAAATTGTGAGAAGTAAATGCCACCTCTTCTCCATGTAACACCTCTTCCTAATATAGGCTGATATTTGCTCATTTATGTTTCTTTATTCTCAGTTGTACTGTTGTAGTATGGCTTCACTAGAAGTAAAACAAAACAAAAAAATCAAGAGCCTATTCTAAGATAGCATGAGTACCCAATTTGAGATATGGATGTTTTTTCTATTAATATTTTGTAGCAGAAGCTGTATTTAATGGTATTTTTGTATAGTCTTATGACAGGAGGTATTCTTAATGGCACTTGCAAGCGACCTCATCATGCAAGAATATGTACCAAGCATTTCAGCAACATTTCAGGTATTTTGTTTGTAGAGCATATATTTCAGTTACAAGCAATGCTGTATTTGTCATTGTCATAAACAGCATTAAGGAACTAATAAGAAAGCCAGTTTCGACGTCTTGAGTTGCTGAATCATTGTCCCTCAACAAAATGGTGTATGGAGCTGGATACAGACTGCTGCACTTTTGTATGGTTAATTGTAAGAATTGCAGGCTTCGTTTAGTGTAATAAAGATATTGTTACAAGTCTGTGCGTTTTCCTTATCCTGTTACATTTGTCAACCTAGCACATTAATACGGAAAGAAAAATATGATAAACAATGTTGGTTAACCAAAATGGGGTTAGGTTGCTGAAAAATCCATATCATTATAACATGGGGCTCAATGGGATATGTTCCCAGTCAGTCAGACACCCACATTAAAAAAAAAAAAAAAAAAAATCCAAAACTAAAAATATACCTACAACACTCGCCACATCATTAAGAACAAGCATGGTCGTTATTACAATGTCCCCTTCGAGGCTAATGGGACTCTTGAAGGTGGAGTACCGAGTGCAGCCATCACTCTGACTCCCACACAGACTTTGGGGAGTCTCGTGCCACTTCACAATGTCAAGCTTCATATCCCGAGAGACAGTTTTCTTGGGTGCCTTGGCTTTCCCAGATATTTTCAAAGTTACACTGCTCACTTCAGTCCCCAAAACATAACGAACAATGATAACGCTACTGCGGCCCACAGTGTTCACATCATGTTCACAACAACAAAGGCAAAGTACTTTACAATCACAAAAAACAACAAAAATCGCTTAACAGTCACCAAAACAAAGTACTGTACAGCACATTCTATACAATGTGAACAATAGTGATGCCCTCTTAAAAAAAAAAAAAAAATATGACCACCACCAGATGATAGGAGGCTACATCACCACCAACAACACTAGACGACTGAGGCTACATTACTACCAACAACACCAGTTGACTGAGGCTACATCACCACCACCCAGATGACTGAGGCGGCACCACCAGATGACAGGAGGCTACATCACCACCACCACCTTCAGATGACTGAGGCTACATTACCACCACCATTACCAGATAACTGAGGCACCACCACCAGATGACAGGAGGCTACATCACCACCACCACCACCAGATGACAGGCTACATCACCACCACCAGATGACAGGACATCACCACCACCACCAGATGACAGGAGGCTACATCACCACCACCACCAGATGACAGGAGGCTACATCACCACCACCACCAGATGACTGAAGCACCACCACCACCAGGAGGCTACATCACCACCAGATGACTGAGGCACCACCACCAGATGACAGGAGGCTTCAACACCACCACCACCAGATGACAGGAGGCTTCATCACCACCACCACCACCAGATGACAGGACACTACATCACCATCACCACCAGATGACTGAGGCACCACAACCAGATGACAGGATGCTTCATCACCACCACCATCACCAGATGATTGAGGCACCACCACCAGATGACAGGAGGCTTCAACACCACCACCACCACCACCAGATGACTGAGGCACCACCACCACCAGATGACAGGAGGCTTCATCACCACCACAACCAGATGGCCACCACCACCAGATGACTGAGACTCTACCACCACCTCCAGATGAATGAGGCACCACCACTGCCACCAGATGACTGAGGCACCACCTCCAGATGACTGAGGCACCACCACCAGATGACTGAGAAACCACCACCAGATGACTGAGGGCACAACCACCAGATGACAGGAGGCTACGTCGTCACCACCACCAGATGACCACCACCAAGTTCCAGGTGGCTGATCTGACTTTGTGCCTCATTTAAACACAATTGCAGGGTCTCAATTGTTTCTCTTACACAACACAACATATATATATATATATATATTGTTTCTCACTATTGATCGTTTTTTTTCTTTTTTCCTTATGGTTCTTTAGTATTATTATTACAGTATTAATATTTTATAATTTTATTTTTAATTTTGTATTTTTTATAACTAATTTTATTTACTATGAATTATTTATTATTATTATTATACAGATTTACAGATTGCCCCAGAGGGGGCTAGTTTATTGGGCACCCCCTTACATCCTGTGCAAGGTGAAGTGCAGAAGCGTTTACAGTGCCCAACTGGGAAGCATGTTAAGTTCATGCTTGCCTTTATGACTCATGCATTAAGGGCGTGGAAGCCTGAAGGGTCATGGGTTTTGTCAACAAGTTACATAAAGTGACAGAATGAGGAGTGTGTGTGGGGGGGGGGAGAGAGCGAGGGGGAAATTCCCGGTACATTTCATCTGTTTATAGCAAAGCGTGGCAGGTCCCTAATAATGTCAAGTGCCAGGCCTGTTACTAGGAGGAGGGATATCTGGTCAGGGAGGGAAGAGGTGTTGGTAACGGCTGGGGACCTGTAGGAGGAGGTCATAGGGCAAGTGAGGATGTAGTGAGAGAGGGTGTGAGAGTCGGGTTGGCCACAAAGTTTACAAACAGTGCGGTCAGGCTCAGGGTTGCCAATGTACTCCCATAGGTACCTGTACCCTAGGTGCAGTCTCATGTACATAATCTGTTGAGATCGAGTCAGAGATTGATACTCTTTGTAGTGGCGGTTGGAGTCACCGGTTACAGCGTCATAGTGTGACGCTGCCCCGTTGTTTCAGGTGTGTCCATTTTACGTCGAAGGCTTCTCATTGTGTGGCGTGTATGTCAGATTTGAGATGATTCAGGGCGAGGGTGGCTTCAATATCTTCTTCTTGTGTCGCTTCTTTGGTAAGTCGATCAACAGTGTCACAGGCAGTTATTCCTATATGTGACGGGATCCAAATAAACTTGACACGGATGTCATCAGTTTGTTCTAGCCTGGCGACCGCAGCTAGGGTGTGTTGAGCTGCAGGGGAGGAGGGGGAGGGTAATTTGAGCCTCGCTATTATTATTACATTTTCGCCCCCAGGCCCTGATGTGTGTCAGTGACCTGTGCCCGTTTGGGATAATCCTAGTAAAAAAAAAAAAATGCCAGATTACCACCACCACCAGATGACTGAGGCATCATCATCACCACCACCAGATGGCAGGAGGCTACAACACCAGATGACTGAGGTTACATTACCACCAACAACACCAGATTTGACTGTGGCTACATTACCACCACCGACACCAGGTGACTGAGGCTACATTACTACCACCAACACCAGATGACTGAGGCTACATCACCACCCCCACCAGATGGCAAGAGGCTACACCACCACCAGATGGCTGAGGTTACATCACCACCACCATATTACAGAGGCTACATCATTACCACCAACAGACAACACCAAAAGATGATTGAAAAAATTCCAAATAGATGCTGATATTTGTTATTTGGGAGCTACTATAGTATGCAGTCTACAGAGCTAGAGCTACTATAGTATATAGTCTGCAGAGCTGGTGCTACTGTAGTATGTGGTCTACAGAGCTGGAGTTGTGTCTACCAGGACATTTACACTAAAGCATCCATTAACATAACCTAGGTTAGGTTAGGTTCATGGATGCTACAGTGTAAATATCCTGGTAGATCCAACTCCAGCTCGGTAGATCACATACTATAGTAGCTCCAGCTCTGTAGACCACATACTACAGTAGCACCAGCTCTCTAGATCACATACTACAGTAGCACCAGCTGCAGACCACATACTACAGTAGCTCCAGCTCTGAAGACCACATACTACAGCAGCTTTGTTATTTGTTAAAAATAAGTTTTTCTATATATTAAAATTTCAGTTAATAAACTTTAGATTAATCACCCTAATACAACCTGACCCCAGACATCTTCTGGCTTCTTGTGTTACCCTCTTAGTTCTATTATACAGTATAATGTACTATATAATAATCTTGTATCTGTAGTTCATACCCTAATGTGTACTTTATTGTATTATGGTATTGTATTACAAATATTGTTTCTCTTGTTTTCTGGTGTAATTTATTAATAAAGCCTTCAAGTGCTAACTCTAGTATCCATAATGTATTAATAAAGCCTCCAAATGCTTAACTCTAGTATCCATAATGTATTAATAAATCCCCCAAATGCTCAGCTCTAGTATCCATAATGTATTAATAAAGCCTCCAAATGCTTAACTCTAGTATCCATAATGTATTAATAAATCCCCCAAATGCTCAACTCTAGTATCCATAATGTATTAATAAAGCCTCCAAATGCTTAACTCTAGTATCCATAATGTATTAATAAATCCCCCAAGTGCTCAACTCTAGTGTCCATAATGTGTTTTACTGAACATGTGATGAATTCCCAATAAAGGTCAATAAAATGGTCGAAAATGTCTCTAAAACCCTATTGAGACTTAATAATTATGTAAATTAATGGACTGACAGCATAAAATAATGACATTGTTAATAATAATAAAAATACGATCGTTTTATATATTCTAATACTCCTAAAAGCTGTTAATAAATAAAGCACATTACATACACAATAAAACTCTTGTTAAAGAATCAATAGCCCGAGCGGTTATTAAGCTGATAAAGGCAAAAATATACATACAGTATATAAAAAATAAATACAAATAAAAGTATAGAACCACCATGAATAGTAAGCAGTCCTCTTAACCACTGAGCCATGACAGACAGTTTTTCCACCTTAATGTCATTCTTAAAGCTCAATAAACTGGATGAAAATAGTTATCTGCAACCCAGGTGACACTGTAGTGGATCCCTCCCCTACAAACGCTGTTTGTCGCTGATTAGCCGACCCCGCGAATTCCCGTGTATGCCTCGTGGTCTAGGTCAACCAGCGCCGCCTTACATGACGGAGGTCAATTACTAAGCCACGCCTACCTCCGCTATTTAAGACCTGACCTCGTGGTGACCTCTTTCTTCTTCTAGCTACAGCCGCAGCAAGCTACACCACCTCCTCCGCCGCTGCCTGGCGGTCCTCGCTCCCGCCGGCGAGCATGGCGACCCACAAGCCGTCCTCCTCTGAGCATCCTCACCAACCAGCTCTCCCTACATCACGCTTGTAACCACGCTGCCACTTCCCAGCACCAAGCTGCACTGTACATCCAATACAACATGTATACAGAGAGCACATTGTGAGTTACCTTCCTCCATCCCATCCTGAGTGTGAACCAAACAACCCATACCCCACAAATGGCGACCCCCGGAGATTCGCACTCACACAGGATGGAGGAGAAACCGATCACTCTCCCAGTCTTCAAGCAACATGGAAGACT